AAGGAGAACGTTTTCCAATGGACTGGGGATCGTAACATCAAATTCAACACTTTACAAATGAGAAATTCTGGTGATAGTGCCCAAGGACGCCATACGTAACACAAACCAAACCCTTATTTTTAAGGATAATTTACAACCAGCGCAAATGGCAGAAGAAATTCAGTCGGCCCAAAGGGCGGAAAAACCAAAAAAATGGGCCTAACTGGTCATATAAAAATTTAAAATTGACTTTAGTTTTGACCTAATCAAGGGAAAAAATGATTTCATAATAAACTTTCACAGTCAATTGAAAACCATTTTTAGATCTACCCACACCCTAATAAGCCCCCTACCCCAATAGGCGCTACCCCCTAGCCCATAATATCAAACAAGCATTTTTTCTCACTTTGTCAAACAGTTTGGATACGAGGAAAACCTGTATTTATTTCCATTTATATATAGTTTCTTAGTGAGCGCCCCCTCCCTCCCCCGCTTTTAAATAAGAGCCCGGGTGCTTATTCGAGGAAATATGGTGATTGAAATGCACAAGAATATGAAGAACTGACCCACAACTTTTTTGTGTGCACGTTAACAAAAGTTGCTATGGGCTTTTCACTGGAGAAATGCAATGTTTACCCAACCATGACCGACGCTATTACGGCAACATTCATTTTGTTGATTTGTTCCATTGTTAAAAGATCCTCCCCCTCCCCCACAGGAAATATCCTCATTAACCCCGCCACTTCCCCCAGTGTAACCACCACCACCGCCCGGTCCCTTGTTGAATGTACGTAAACCACCGCCACCTCCGAACCCACCAGAAATATTTCCACCCTCTCCCCCCTGAAGATATCCTAAACCTCCTTTTCCTCCTTTTTTACTATAGCCCGTTCCATTATGTCCATTACTATGGAAGCCACCACCACCACCACCACCTGCAATACAATCAAAAAGTGATCGGTGATTCTCTTACAAATAGCACCCATAAATTTAATTTCTCGCGATCAAACGACGATCCGCGGTGTTCCGAAACTTAGTTTAGTTCTTTATTTTTAAAGTTTAATTAGCGGAGATTTTTTAGTAACAAAAAAGCTCGCGAGGAAAAGTCAGCGTAAAAATGCTGCAATTGACTCTTTATTCAGTGCTTCTGTTTAATCCAGATCTGCAGTTAACGAATGAGAAGCCTTGTCAAGTTTTTCGATGTCATCTCCTGCGTTATATTTGCGGATCCATAAATCATTCGATAATTCACTAAATATGCAGGAGATTTGAAAAGAAAAGAACAAAATTTAACAGAATCCTAAGTCTTGTATGAGGCGCTTCAAAAGAATCATATAAAAAATCTTCAAAATTGATATTGAAAAAATTTAATAATTACGGTTTTTATAAATGCTTCAAAATCTGATTATCAGCGACTTACTCTATCATTGGGTTGGAGATAGTGAAGGATGGCAATAGAATGCAACAAATTTCTCAGTATTTATAAAAAGGAAATTCTCCACCTACCAGAATTCACACCATTAGTAAGTCCTCCTTGTCCTTCTCTTCCCCCTGATCCCAGTGGCGAGTTGTTCCCTGCATTTGCAGTGGTGTCTTGGGAAGCATCACATCCCGGATGTTGTTCTGACATATTTTTGATTCCCCCTCCACCTCCAGCTATGATTAAAGGCGTGTTTGTTCGTCTCACAACAAATGTACCTCCACCACCTCCAGCAGTTTTTAAGTTGGTCTTTCCTTCTGTTCCTTTTTGACCAACAAGTATATGAATGATCTCATCTTTGGTCAAAATAAAGTTTCCGATCATTCGTGCCCCTCTTCCACCGTTCTTGATGATACTGTCCTCACCGTACCCCCCTGAGGCTCCTATTGCCTCTATTCTGTATTCGCCAGTGTGTGGCACAGTCCATTGTTGAATACCGCTAGACAATGTGACTTGCCCGTCGTGATCCTGACCTGCGTAATGACCTCCAATTTGGACTGGACCCGTACTTCCACTCATACCAAGAGTTGTAAATACTGCTGTAAATCCTGTATAATAATCGGGAAAGTTATGGTACTGCTAAGAAATTGTCAAATTGTTTTGGGTA